TTCAGTCTAACAAACTTTGGTCTCAGATGGAGGCATCAACAATCCAGGTGATTGTTGATGACTCCATCTCAGTTTCTGAAATGATAATGTAAAATGTTCTGGAGATAAAGATGCTGAGCCTGTTCCTGAACTGAACCTGTTGAAGACTGTATTCAGTTAACTGGCTCTGTCCAGACTTCCATCTGTCATCATCCTTCTGCTTGAAGCCTGTGATCTTCTTCATTCCTGGCCACACCTCTCTGGTATGGTTCTGCTGCTGTTTGCTTTCCAACCTCTTCCGCTGTGCTTCCTTGCTTTCTCTTATCAGTGACCTCTTTATTCTCATCATTACTTTCCTGTCTTCTACTCTGAAGACTCTTTTCTTGTGTAGAAGATATTTAAGTGTCAGGATTCCTGTCTGTGTGTTTGTGTTTCTGTGTTTGTCTCCCTTCCTCCACCAGGAGGCGCCTGGTTCTGGTCCGCCTCCCTACACACCTGCAGAGGGTTACCTCGTTAACTGAGCACACTTAAGCTGCTGACTGCCACTACCTCGACGCCAGAGTGTTTGCCAGTTTTGGTAAGTCATCCTGCAAACTGGATGTTTCGGACCTTCTCTCCCTGGAAGGATCATCTGAGCTTCAAACTGAGCTGAGGATTTAAACTGGAGGTCTGAATCTACTTCCCCTCAAGAGATCGTTTGAGCTTCACACTGAGCAAGGGATTCCTCTTCACTACGATCCGTTCAAGTACCGCAGGAAATATGAGTGGCAGTCAGCTTCTACGTTCACCTACAAACAACCGCATTCTGGGTAAACCCTGTCCGCCCTCCACCGAATCAGACAAACACTGGAACTACCACACACAGACTGGAGTCAAAGAGACAACAACTTCTCTGGAAACGTGAGTCAGCAACCAAATTCTCCTCTTCAAGTTGAAGAACCAAATTTCCTACTGAGCCTGAACTAACCACTGTGTCTTCCCCTCACTTTTCAGTTCTGGTTGAGCAGTGTTCAGAGCAACACTTGATTCAGCATTATCTCTTCAATAAAACCTATTAAACCTTTCCCCTTGTCTCTCTGAATTGGTTTCTCTGCATGTGAGTCCGAGCTCTTGATAAAACCATGACATTAAGATCACTTCTGGCTACAGGAAACATAATTACATAAATTTAACAAGGCACCAAATGTAGAGTCGTTGCCTCCAAACATTTGAAAATTCTGAGTGACACTAGGTGGTAATAATTCAGCCTGGTGATGGGATATTTCTTTAGCACTGGGATTATTGCGGAGGTTTTCAGAGAAGGTTGGTTGACTGCCTGGGCCAGGGAGCGGTTTAAGTTCCTGGAGAAGGTGGAGGCCTTTGGTTGGCCCGTGTTTGGAGCAGTAATCACTTGTTGTTTGCAACTAGAGACAAAGAACACGAAGGAAGTGTGCAGATAGTGGCTAGGCTAATGCTTAGCAGATCACTCACGATCTACTTCCTAATGTAATACTGACAATATGCTGGCATTTTAGGGACATTCAGTCACATTGTCAAAACAATTACAACAACATGATTTGGTTTAGTGACTGTTTAATTTTCTTTTCAACATATAGACATTTTACAACTACATATATAAACATTACTTTTTGATAACAAAAATACAGTGCCCAAGTAGGACCTTTAATGAAATTGGCATATGCCGATTTCCAACTGGCATATACCATTTTTCAAAACTGGCTTGCCAGATACCAATTTTGGCTTCCGTTGTCCCTCCTAAAACACAAGTCAACATTTACAGCAAGGCATTGTAAGACAGTGCGGCTCTACTAAGTAGCGGTGCCAGTTGTTGCCATCTTACTTTCTGGTAGTTGCCATCTTACTTTTTTTCGGAACTACCAGAAAGTAAAATGTTGCCATCTTACTTTCTGGTAGTTCCGATTCCAGCACTGGGAGCAATAAGCTAATAAACAGATGCAGGGGCGCCATCTGCTGGAAGAATGACGGAACTACCAGAAAGTAAGATGGCAACAACTGGCACTAAGAACGACGCCAGTAGAGCCACACTTAGTAGAGCCACACTTTCAGTGTGGCTCTACTAAGTGTGGCTCTACTGGCGTCGTTCTTCCAGCAGATGACGCCCCTGCATCTGTTTATTAGCTTATTTCTCCCAGTGCTGGAATTTTAATGAGGCATAAAAATGACTAATAACACACTAGAATCTGAATAGATTTTTGGTTTATATTAAGCTTTTTATCACGAAGAAATGGTTTTCAGTCTTTCTTATATAGTCATATACTATAATGCGACTATGTCCCTTGAAAAGTCTTAACTTATGGGTCTGGTTGATCCTTCCAGGCGAAGCTGCCTCTCCTGTCTGGATAACACCCATTTAAGAATGTCTCCATATCAAACAAGTTCTGAGGGCTGAACAAGGTCTATTATAGCTAAAAAAGTGATTCTTAGCTAAATGAGACAAGTTGTTACCCTGCGTGGATTAGCTGCTAAAAGAGCCACTTGGCCTCAACTTAGAACCAAAAATCATGCCGTTCTGCCTCTTCCTCGATCCTTGATAATAAAAAGTGGCCATTTGTTTATAGCACTGGCTAAGCTAGCTGCTTCTTTCTAACACAGATATTCTCTAACCGCACCTTTCCCAAGGTCAGGGAGGGTCTGCTGCTCAGACAGCAGAATTAATGAGGATCACTAAGATATGAATGAATCATGCTGAATACCACTGTGATGAAGGAACAGCATTAGAACATTGTTAAAAATTCAAAAAATTGATTTTGCAGGATGTTTGCCCTTTAATGCGTGTGCAGGCCAGGGCACCAGTGCCATAAGGATATCTGGAAAATCCTGGATTAATCTACTATCTTGTTCACAATCACTTAACAAGATAGAAGAGAAGAGGAAAAAATGTGCAAAAATTAAACAGTCATCAACGTTAGGAAACTGAACATGACTGATATTATCTGCAGAAACCTGGGAAAGATGGCTGCCAAGTGGGCCTGTCTCCTCCATAGCATTGGGGCTCCAGTGTGGGATGTGTGTGATGATGAGTAAAAGGTGAGGAGTAAAAGGTGAGGAGTTGCACTGGCCCTACGTTCAGTCTGACAGGGTTTCATCTGTCCTGAGCTGCATCTAGCTGTAGATGGCAGCTGGATGCAAATAAAGTGTAAGAACTTCCCTAAAAACAGGTGAGATAATGATTAAAAAACCCAACAAAGTCAAGATGAAAAGGATGATCTAAAAGGGCAGAACAAAACTGAGATTATCATTCACTGATTAGGCAAAATTCAACTTTTTTTTTTTTTTTTTAATCACATTTTCTTCAGACTGTAAGTGATATTAGCTCTTCTCTCTAAAGCTGAGACCTGGAGGAGAACGCCATTGCTGTGTACAGTTCATGTCCATAGCCATCCTTTTGCCTGGTTGTCTAAATTCCTGAAGTTCCCCAGAGTCTACGCTGACTGTGTTCAATGTCTGCTCTGTCAGACGTCAATAACAGTCAACCTGTGACTGAATTTTATTTGTGACAGAGAAAAGATGAAAGAGTCTTTCTTATTCTGAGGTTAGGGCCTTTTTTTTTCTGTGAACTGATCTTTAGACAAAGAGCAAATCAGATTTAAACTGATTATGTATTATGTTTTCTAAGCCCTTGTCTTGATAACGTTCATATTTCCACTATTCAGCTGTCAGTTTTTATTATTTGTTCTCACAATTAAACCTGATGTTTTTTTTTCTTATTTTGAGTCAGAAATCAAGAAGACTGCAAATATGATTTCAAGCTTTATAAAACTCAAACATGCTTCCATCAGCATGAGCCCCTCCTAGATGTAGAGCACTAATTTTCCGCTTCAACCTTTCTTGTTTCAGTCATTGTCAGAAGTAACTTATTCTACAACTTGCTTCGGAAGGTTATTTGATAAATCAAAATAATAAACAAACGTCAATCTCACTTGTTTCTGTTGGATATAAAAATTTTAGATAAAAAGGATCTTACTTCTTTGGACTGAACCCCATAGATGATGGAGTTGAGGCTGCCGGGTACAACAAAAAACAGAAGAGAGGTTATTTTTCTGTATTCAGAGTACTGAGGGAAGCGGTGCAGAGCGATTGCAGTAAACCCACTGAAGAACATGATGAGATACACAACCAGGTGAGTGCTGCAGGTTTTGAAGGCCTTTCTGTTCAATGACTTGTTCTTGCTGGTAAAACAAACCACTACAATCTTCCCGTAGGTCAGAAGGATGCAGCCAACAGATGACCCCAAAAGCACCGCCGTGTAAAAAAGGCCATATATGTTATTGATAACGACACTGTCACAGGAAAGCTTAAACAAAGAGGCATTGTCACAGTAAGGGTTGGAGACCAGAGTCCTGCATCTGTTCAGTCTCACTGAGAGTCCAATCAAAACCACAACAAAAATTAGAGGCACTGCCCAGGCAGACAATGAGAGCTTCATCACCATGCTGTTGTTCATGATGGCTGAGTAACGCAGAGAATAACAGATGGCCACGTACCTGTCGAAGGCCATGATCATCAGTACCGTGTGGGAGGTACTGCTAAACCACTGATTAACAAAAGCCTGAATCACACACTCATAATAACCAATGAGGCGCTCCGACGGAGGCTTCAGAAGATCCGACAACATCCTAGGAAAGATCTGAGAGCTTCCAACTATGTCACTAACAGTCAGGTTGCAGAAAAGAAGATACATAGGCTGATGAAGGTTCTTGTCAATAATGGTTAGAATCAGAAATCCCACGTTAAGGATCATGGTAACAATGTAGAAAGTTAATAACAAGAAAAATATGGTATAAAGTAAATCCTTTGTGACATTTATGCCCTCCATCTGCAGCACAAAGCTGTTGAAAGTGTAGTTTTCCATCCGATTGAGGAAAACAGCCAAAATCAATTTGGTAATAAATCTATTAATAAATAAAGCAATAACTTTAAACTGTAATAAACCAGCAGATGAGTTAATATGAACAACAATGAATAGAGCATTAATCAAAAAAGCAAACGTATGAGGAAATAAAGACGTATTTCACAATCCATCAGTGATGATGGCCAGACAGGGGCAGGTGCAGCTTCAATGGAGCATATTTATCTCAGCACAGTGAGTGATGTAATGTTCAAAGGGAAATGTCATCATCTATAGAAACAGCACCAAAGAGCCAACCAAGTTTTCATCTTCACATTCATACTTTGATTTCTAAAACAATAGTTCACATTTGATTCCATAACTTTTAGTACATTTTTCTTTTAGACATCAGACCTCTGGATCAGAACTAAATGAGCACAACTTCAGTTAACATAGGCTTCAGGTACAATAGTGGGAAAAGTTTCTGGTTCTGACCATATTCACTGTTAGTAGGTTCTGTAGCGGTCAGAAAGAAAAGCTTGATCATACACTTTTGATGACTTAATCAACAAATTTACATGTGTTTTATTAGAATAATTAATGCTAGATAGGAGCAAAGTGAATGAATACTGTTGTGAAAGTCATAACAGTGAAATTAAAAGGAAAATGTGACAAATGTATTAACTTCAATAATCTAATATTGGTAACAAGCTTTCATTGTTTTCCATACTCTGATCCCCCCAAACATCAGTGGACTAGTACTGTACTGTACTAATACTGTAGCCATTCACTACTACTACATGAAATCTGGATCATGACCCAATGAACGAGATACTGTTTAAAGTCGCCTTAATTTAGCTTTCTCGAGGTGGCTGGGCCATCTCTTAGAGGTTGGGTGAGGATCTCGGCTATCTGGGAGAGACTCAGAGCTCCTTCTCTTCCTCATAGAGAGGAGTCAGCTGAGGTGACTCAGCTGTCTTTTGCAGATGCCCCCTGTATGCCTCCTTTGCAGGCACATTCCAAAGGAGGCCCAGGACACGCTGAAGGGACTTTGTGTGTTGGCTGGCCTAACAATGCCTCTAGCTTCCCCCAGAGGAGATGGAGGAGCAGTCAAGGGAGAAAAGGAGTTTGGGAGTCTTCTCTAAGACTGTGGCCCCTTCAACCTAACCTGACTCCGCCAGATGGATTTGCTCCGCATATCCAACTGGAAACCTTCCTTTGAAGTAATTTTGGGAAGGGGCGAAAATACTGGTTAGCTGATTGGCCTATGTTGGTGATAGACGGGCCAAATAAACCAATCAGATCAACAAA